ATTTGAAATACCAGGTCTGTCTTCTTAAAGTTCACCTGCCAGGTCTCCGTGAACTAACTTATCGGGGAGCACTATTTGCACGCCTTATCTGAGGCCATGATTTCTCCCACATGCTCAGGACTTGGCTTTCTCTCCCTCTTTTCCTGCTGCACCCCTACCTTCTCCATTCTGACCTGTTGATGTGAGCCCCTCACAGCACCCTGGCTCCCTTTCCTCCAGGACACTGCACTAGCCCGAGGTCTGAACAGGACCCCAGCCTGCAAGCCCAGCTTGCTGGGCCCTTGCTGTCCCCCAGAGGCTGGCACTGTGGCCTCCCAGGGCTCAGCTGAATCAAGCTCCTGTCTCTGGGCTCCCCAAGCACTTTCAATTCATTCTGCCGGTGTTTATCCTTCGTAATAACACTGGCTGTTAGTTTCTGACTGGCCTCCAGACTCTCATTAGCTTTCCCTCTGAATACCGGGGCACAGAGGGAGGAACTGAGCTGAGCCAAAGGGAGCCCTCTCTCTCTGGCAGGGGCAGCAGAGTTGTGGGCAACGCCTGGCGTGTTCCCAGGCCCCCAGCACACAGGGGCATTGCCGGCCTGGGGGGGGGAGTCTAGCTGAGGCTGAGATGGTGCAAATGACAAAGGTGGCTGAAGCACTTAGATGGGAGCCAGGTCTGCTGCCAGCCCCAGGCCCTCCCCACCTCCTGAGGGAGCCCACCACACTCCCTGGCCCTGCAAGAGCCAACTGGCCTCATTCCAGAGTGGAGCCCTGGGTCTGAGAGCTTTGGATTTTTCTAGTCAGACTGCAGTGCTGCTCTGTACTGCGGCTCTTCAGCTCATCCCACAATCAAGACATCCACATGCCCCCTCTGACTGCCCTGGGAGGTCCCTACAGCCCCACCAGAGGATGGTGCCAGGAGGCTCTCCAGGCCCAGAAACCTTAGGGAACTTTAGGCTGAGCTTGGTAATCCATGTGCCCAGCCAGCTCCTGATCTGCAGGCAGAGCTCTTCACGCAGTGCAGAGAGGGCCAGGCTGCGGGTGCCTGTCTGCTTCCCCAGGACAGGCACTGTGCTAAGTAGTTTTACTTGTATCATTTCATTTAATCCCCTCAACAGCCTCTGGGAGGCATGTGCTTTGACTGTCCCCTTTTCACAGAGGGCAAAACAGAGCCCCAGAGAGGTCAGCTTGCCCTGATTCGTGCAGTTAGTGCGCGTGGAGCCAGAGTGAGCCAGGTGCAGTCTGATAGGAGAGACCCTGGGACAGTGAGTGGCTCCTTCAGTGGGGAGAACAGTCAGTAACCACTGGGCATGGTACAAACAAAAAACAACAACTACTGGGCATACTTAACCCTCCGCGCATACTGCATTCAAAGCAGCTCAGAACTGTTCCCGAGGACTGTTACTCAGAGGCTTCATTCCCTTTGGCCAGTTAGTCTGGATGGGATTTGACTTAGCTGCCTGCATTCGGGTTCCTTTTCAGTAGGACAGGCTTGTCTTTCTCTGTGATGGAAACCCAGGGCCCCAGCGCTCATCCAGGGCGCATGCCCGGAAAGACTTCATAGGCGGGACATGACTGTTCTCCCGAGAGCTTCGCCACGATTGTGAGTTGCACCATCTAAGCCGTCCAGGGCCAGGGAGGGCTGTAGGTGGACGGCCAGTTGCTCTGAGATTCTGCACAGGGTCACTGCGGGGGAAGGAACTCCATCCACCGTGTGACATGACGACCGCTAACCACATAGGCGGTTAATGCTCCTTAAAAACAAAAACAGCCTGGCCAGCATGGCTCAGTGGTTGAGCGCTGACCTATGAACCAGGAGATCACCGTTCGATTCCCAGTCAGGGCACATGCCCAGGTTTCAGGCTCGATCCCCAGTCGGGGGTGTGCAGGAGGCAGCCAATCAATGACTCTCATCATTGATGTTTCTATCTCTGTCCCTCTCCCTTCCCCTCTCTGAAATCAATAAAAGCATTTTTTTTTAAAAAAAGAGCTACTTCAATAGGACCTACTGCTAATAACTTTATGATTGTCTCTAACATGATGACAATTATTAATTCGTTTGTAACCTTGTAATTTATACTTTAAGTTTGAAGTTCTTTAAATGCTAGATTAAGCCAGAGAAGCTGCAGTGGAAGAAGTTTATGTTCTACATAAAAGGTGCAGGAACTGAAATGCCCAAACCCTGCATCCTACAGGATGACCACAAAGAACAGCCGTGTAATACCTGCGCTCTGTGTGTTTTGCTCTAATGCAAATGGTCTCCTATGACAAATGAGGTCACAGACCTAAGACCTCATCTGGGCACCTCGCTTCACTCCCTGTCCTTTCCGATGCCTAACACCAAGTCCCTTGTGCCTTAATGTGCTGAGCTTCAGAAAACAGCCAACATGAATGTACCCGTCCAAAACCAATAGGCGATATGCCAAATCCAATGATTAGACCATTGTTCAAAATATCTTGCAACTCCTGTTTGGAACTGCCTTCCAAATTTGCAGGGGCCAATCTTGGATAGGTTTCACTTCAATTTGAATTTGATTTCATCAATGCAGTACAGTTTTGTAGGGAAGGCTGAGCTGTGGGGAGCCCGAGGCAGGGGTGAGGGGAATCCCTGGATGGTGCAAGGAACTCAGGTGGGTCCTTCAGTGAGAGCCTGGGACAGAGGAGCATCCCTACCAGCAGGTGGCGCTGCTGCAGGGGAAGGTTGATTTACTCTAGCAGGGTAGGAAGCATTTGTGCCAGGTAGAGATGCAGGAATGGTTTTTTTTTGTTTTTTTTTAGATTTTTTAAAAATTGATTTTTTAGGGAGAGAGGAAGGAAGAGAGGGAGAGAGAGAAAAACATCTATTCGAGAATGAAACATTGATTGGCTGCCTCCGGTATGCCCCCCACTGGGGATTGAGCCTGCCCTGACTGGGAATTGAACCGGCAACCCCTCAGTGCACGGGGTGATGCCCAAACAACTGAGCCATACCAGCCAGGGCAGGAATGGCATATTTTATAGGACACCCCAGTCTGTCACACACAGGCCTACGCTCTGACCTTGCTCTCCACACCCTGAACCAGCCTGGTTCTCTGAACACCTTGTCTGCTGGGCAGACGTGCAACTTGTCTTTCAAAGTTGAGCTCAGATGCATCTCTCCAGGAAGAAGCCTCCCTGGCCCCTGGCTTTTCATGACCAGGGCTGGGTGAAACTTGCATTCCTCAGATGACCAGATCCCCTGCACCCATGACCTTGGTTGACCTTCACAGGTCTCCCGTGACAGTGTTATCATCCCATATTACAGATTTGAAAACAAGCCCCACACCTAGTGAGGGGGCAGAGCCCAGAGGCAAACCCAGTCTCCCCAAACCGCACCTGGCTGTGTTCCTACCTTGCCCAGTCACACTCCTCTGTCACTGATGAGTTTCGAAGGCAGCCACTCCGTTCTCTGAACTCTGGAGCCTGGTACCTGCAGTGGGATCATGGCCCGGCTCAGCTCAGGTACAGCTGGACTGGGTTTGGAAGGAGGCATTGTTAATTGGAAGGTGGCCAGGCGAGCTGAGGCAGGCGGGCCTTGCCCGTGGCCATTCCTCTAGCAGGTCCTGGCTGCACTGTCTTCTTAGGGATGACTGCAGCGTGGTGGTGGCTGGGTCACCAAGTCCCCCATGTGGCACCCATCAGAAGGGCCCCTGATGTTTAGGAGAAATGCCCCACCCAAGGGCTCCTGGTTGCGGTCCTCATCACCACCTGGAGCCAAACACTCTCTCCACGTCCACAATTTGTCCCACGTGGTTCCTCTCTTCTGAAGGGCGTCCCTGGTGCTGTCCCCTCTCTAGTCCTGTGGACACCAGCAGCTGTGAGTCGTTCTCATTTCCATTTCCTGCAGTGAGTTCTCTGACCCCCATAACCCTTCTGGAGCCTCACAGGCCACCCAAGCAGAAGGGCCAGGATGTGGCCCTGGGGCCCACCTCTGGAGATCTGACGTGGCTGTCCTTGGATGGGGCTTATAGCTTGGGGACCCTCCCAACTGGCCCAGCCTCAGTGACAGGCAAGGAAACAGAAACCCAGATGGCAAAAACACATCACTCACCTGGATGGTCAGAGACGTCCTTCTGGGCTCTGGGTGTTTTGATTCTGAGGCTCTAGTCCTGGGCCTGATTGAGGAACGTAAATACGAGGCACTTTTTTTTAAATCCTCACCTGAGGATATTTTTCCATTGATTTTTCAGAGACAGTGGAAGGGAGG